TTGGGATGTTTTCGTGATGCACATTTTCTTTGCATAAAACTCTCTCTTATACGTGAGTTGCTGTGGATTTGTTTCTCCAAAGTATCTAGACTAATACAATGTACATATATCTATAGGTTAAGTATTAAGGTAGCAGACAGACGTTGGGCCTCTACTCAAGTACTCCCTCAATGCAAGAACACTTTGTTCTAATAACCTGGCATTCTGTGATGCTCACCTTCCCAATGCGATCGCAGAAGACAAAATAGATACATAAGCTAATGTGATGAAGAAAGCTGATGGTGCCTGGCTTTTAAAAGATATAGTGTCTGAGGTTTTAAAGGCTTGAAGTTAAGCAAGCGGCCATGTAGCTGAGAAGCAACAAAGCCCACATGGAAGAAGCACACCAGTCCGTGTGACCATGAGGTGTTGATGGGATCAGGTATCAGGCATCAGAAGACCCCTCCGCCCAAAAACAATCATTTTGATGTGAATGAGGGGTGTCTGAACGGAGACCCAAAGCCCACCTGCAGACAATTGGACATCCCCTCACAGAAGGGTCACACGTAAGGGATGAGCCAGCCAGGGTGCAGTATAGCACCGACAAAACACACAACATTCCTCTAGTTCTTTAATGCTTCCTCCCTCCCTACTATCATGATCCCAGTTCTACCTAACAAATCTGGCTAGACCAGAGCATGTATACTGGTACAGATAATATCTCTCGACACACAGAATCCAGGACAGATAACCCCCCTAGGAACAGTAATGGGAGTAGTGATACCATGAGAGTAGGGGGAAGAGTGGGGCAGAAGGGGGAACCAACAAACAACAGAAACGTGGGTGAAGGGAGATAGCAGACGGTGTGAAATATGAAAATAAAAATAATGTATAAATTATCAAGAGATCACGAGGGTGGGAAGGTGGGGGGAAAAGAGGTGCTGATACCAAGGGCTCAAGTAGAAAGAAAATGTTTTAGAAATGATGATGGCAATGTATGCACCGATGTGTTTGATACAATTGATGTATGGATTGTTCTAAGAGCTGGAAGAGCCCCCAAGAAAGTGATTGAAAAAAAGAAAAAAGCGCAGGCTTTCTTCCGTGGAGCTGCTGGTGGTTTCAAACTGCCGACTATGCAGACTGCAGTCCAATGAGTGACCACTACACCACCAGGGCTCCTATACACATACATGAAGAAAAACTATTGATTGTTATAACACATGAGTGTTGACCCCAAGCATAATTTATTTTCTTTATTGCATATTTCTGTTTCCCAAATCATCTGCAATAAATGCGTATTGCTTTTCCAACCAGAAAGAATGGTTTTGATAGATAAGCCTTTGCTACTGCTCGAAGGTGGTCTGATGGGGCAGCGGGTTGAGCGCTTGGCTGCTAACCAAGAGGTCAGAAGTTTGAACCCAACACTATCTGCTCCTATAAAGACTTAGGGCCCCCAAAGCCCTGTAGAGCGTCACTGGGTCAGAATGGTCAGGCTGGCAGTGGCCACTCTGGGTTGGACTTGACTGTGGAGGCAGTGGGTTGTACACGCTTTCTGGGGAGCAGAGCACTAGGTCTGCTGGCAGGTAGGCAAATGCCTCCCTGCTGGTTAGCAGCTGAATGCTTAACTGTTGCGCCACCAGGACTGTCTCTGACAGTTCTAGTTCCCAGCTTCTTTTCCATCTCTCTGGCCTGTTTCATGGAGGGAAGGAGCAATTATGATAGCGAGAGCGTGCTGCATTCCACTTCCCATTGGCTCTCAGCCAAAGGGGAACCTCACTGGCAATGTCAGGGCTGGTGGGAGCCACAGAGATCAGAGGAGAGAAGAGCAAGCCTCAGTTGGAGGTTGAATAAGAGACTGAAAACGCCTTGGGCGGCACCCCTGCAGCAGCTTGGGCTGGAACCAAAGGCCTGGTGCAAAGTGTTGAGCAGAGCATTTGCAGACCCAGGGCCATCTCCTGGGAACCTTGACATCACTCAGGCTCAGGCTCCTTCGTGCTTGCTTCCCCACTGTCCACAAAAGCTTCGGGACCCCCCACCCCCGCGCCCGCCCCCAACTCCTCACCTGCATCTTTCTCTTCACTGTGTCAAAGGGAAAGGACAGGGTTTGGGTTACTGCAGCAGCCAGACAGATATTGGCAAAGTTCTGGAGGACAGAAAACTGACTGCGGGGTCCGTGCCAGATTTTCTCCAGGTTCACGTAAACGAGAAGGGAGCCAGCAGAGAATGGAACAGCACCTGCAAAACCAGGCCAGGAAGAGGCTGTTAGGTCTTGAGCAGAGAAACCAGCAGTGGGCGAATGGGGTGGGATCCAGGGGAAGTAGACAAGAGGGTCTTGGGCTTAAGCAGTCACTCCAACCTAAAGGAATGTGAGGGAAATTTCTTGGGTGATGATATAAAAAAAACCAACCACTGCCAGTGAGTCAATTCTGAGGCTGTAAATATTTCTGGGAGCAGATAGCCTCCTCTTCCTCCCTCGGTGTGGCTGGTGGGTTTGCACTACCAACAAACAGCATGGTTAACAGTTCCACACTTAGCAAATAGCACCACCACCATGCTCAGTATCTTGATAGGGGGTTGAGTCATTTCTTGGAGCCCTGGTGGCTCAGTGGGTTATGTATTGGTCTGCTAACTGTAAGGTCAGAACTTTGAAACCACCAGCTGCTCTTCAGGAGAAAGACAAGGCTTTCCATTCTCTTAAGATGCATGGCCCTGGACGGAGGGCCCTAGCGATGGGACTCTGGCAGTCGCTTGGGGCCGCATCCCATGTCAGTCGGGAGGACATGGCTCCCTTCTTACTTCTCTTTGTCCTCGTCGTGCAGGCCCTGAGAGGAATTGAGATGGGCACTGCGGAACCGGAGCGGTCCTCCGTGCCTATGCCGACCAGTGTTGCGATGGAGTCCTACAACATGAATCCTTCCCTACATTGGGAATGCCTGGCCATGGTGCCAGCCCCTGTTTTCACTGTGGAGGTAAAGATCTATGAATTCTGTTTGGGCCAGAGTTAAAGCGAGGCTTGGGCAAAAATAATCGGCCTATGGGGAGACAAAAGATTTCGTTATCTGCCAAGATGGGAAAGTTGGACCACGTAAGCTATATATCAGTGAAAAGGAAGACATAATCATTATCGACACATTTCATCCATTAGTTATTGTAAATGGAACAGAGCTGGGCACTGTGTTTGCTTCTGAAGATACTTGCTACAGCTTCACATACAACGTAAATGGGAGAACTAATGGACGTAAAGCCTTATACATTACGGTGAGGGAGTGCGACGAAACGCAGTGTTGGTCCAGTATCCCAAAGGCCCAACTGAATACCAAGTACTGTGCTTCAGCAGAAGGCCACAATAAAAGATGGAGCGTTTTGACAGAAAGCCGGTTGTTTGTCCTATCCTATTCTTTGTAGTTCTTATTATCCCTGTATTCGTGTGTTGTTACATTAAGAAGAATCCTTTTAAGAGAAGAAACAACACATTACCCAAGTCCTTGCTCCCTGTGGTAAAACATGCCACTTCAGAGACAAATCCGGAATCAAAATACATATCACTCATCACATCATACCAGCCTGTTGCCTCAGACATTGAGAATGTGGTCTGCAAAGAGCCGTTGCCTTCAGCAGCCCTTCCCAGCATGCACACGGAAGACAGCCCTGCCACCGTGGAGCACACAGAAGTTTCTAGCGAAATCATAGTGATCACTGAAGAAGGTATTTCTGATGTGCTCCCCGGGAGCTGGCGAATTCTTTCTCTTCAAGTAGCAACCAGTCTGAGCCCTGCAGCATCACTGTAAACTCGTATCACTCCAGAAATGGTTCCGACAGCGGCCTTGTGGGATCTGACAGCTTTTTTTCGGACTTTGAAAGCCCCCCAAACAATACGGCTGAAGGGAAGCTGGCAGGACAAGCTCCCACAATGTTGAGAAACACTCCCACCTCATTCAGTTACGATAAACCTCACGTGCTTGTGGAGTTGCCTGTGGATGATGGCGGGAAGGAAGCCTTGATTGGTTACAGATTCACGGCAGATGCCAACGAGTTTTCATAGGCAGCTATGGCATGCCAGTGTGGAAGCCTCTCCTTCCCAAACCAGGCTTTCTGCTTGGGGCTTACGAGAGATCAAGAATTCTCATGTGCTTAGTTGGTAGTAACCAGAATGTCTTGTTTTGGATCCAAGTGTGAAGAGCCTGTTTGGCACTGTTGCCTGTCATCAGAACATACAATGACTTTGCTGTTTTTGAAAAAGACAGAAACGAAACATCACAAGCAGAACCTAAGACCCTGTGAAGGTTTCCCTGCAGCTGGGAGTTAGCAGCCATGCCCACTGCCACCACTGCTGCTTCCTGTGAGGGGGGTGGGGCACCCCTTCCCCCTGGTGGCCATGAGGAGAGCTATAATGCAGTTTTCTTTTCTGTGCCAAGATACGGTTTTTTTAAGTGTATGTGTACAGCATTTCTAAGTGCCTAATTAAAAAAATCCTGAAAGCTTTTCACATTTTTAAAAAACTAACAGAATGCCCAAAGAATTTGTAAATAGAAGTATGCATATGTTTACATGAGTCCTTGCATACATAGAGTTTTCAACAAAATACTATAAAGACATTGAAAACAAGCTGTATGGCCATGGAAACCCACTGGGGCAGGTCTGCCCTGTCCCATAGGGTCACTATGATTTGGAATTGACAGGATGGCAATGAGCTTTCGGTTGAGTCATTTGTCAGAATACATCAGAGGGTTTCCTAGAGATTTGTGCTTGGTACTCTGTGTAAGTTTTGACTTGCAAAACAACCATACACAAATATTACAATCTAGCTGATGAAACAGGAGCCCAGCTGGCCCAGTGGGTTATGCACTGAGCTGCATCAGGTCAGCAGTTGACACTCATCAGCTGCTCTGCGGGAGAGAAGATGAGTCTACCTGTTCTTTACAGTCTTGGAAACCCTACGGAGTGGTTCTACCCTGTCTTAAAGGGCGGTTATGAGTGGGAATAAACTCCGCACAGGCTGAAGGGTTTAGGGGTAATGTGTGGTTGATATTTGTAGCTTGGACTCAAGTCATCAAATAGAATGATCTAATACAATGATCTAATACATGGCAAGGTCACGGCTGGTTCAAGTAGGATTGTCATCGTCCCTGTGGGAGACCCAGGTTCGGGTCCTGGCCAATAGACTTCACACACAGCCACTACCAGTTTGTCAATTGAGGCTTGCTTATTGCCATGATGCTAAACAGGTTTTAGCTGAGTTTCCAGACTAAGACTAGGAAGAAAAGCCTGGCAATGTACTTCCCCAAAATGGCCAATGAAAACTCTGAGGCTCATAAAGGTCTGATTCGCAATCAACTGTGTAGATGGCAGAAGGCCAGGCAAGTTTCATTTCCCTGTACACAGGGTCACATGAGTCGGATCAACTCGATGACAATTCACAACAACAATGAACGATTAGAATAATCAACCTTTTAAACCCCAAAGGGCAGCATGACTCAAGGGCAGGCGGGTAGGAAAGGCGGAGGAGTGGAAACAGGAAACATGGAGAGGAAGTGGGGACTGCGAAGGATGCGCTGCCTCCATGGGTATGGATTTGTTGGAAGGAAAACTGATGCTCTGCTCTGTAACCCTGCACTCAAGTCACAAGAAAAGGCTTTAAAGACCAGAGAGAACGGCTCGGGGAGAGAAGAGATGGACAGATATGTGATAAAGTCAATTCCATGTAAAACTGAAGTGGACTTGGAGGCTCCTTGTAGGGTCCAGGTGGTGGGTATATGGGTGTTAACAATTCTTCCAACTTCTCTGTATGCTTGAAATTAATAAAAAATAACTACGTTGATTAACCCCCCACACCAAACACACAAAACAAACAAACAAGCAAGCAACCCTCCCCTGCAAGCTCAGTGGGAGCTTAGGCAGGAGTGAGATGGAAACCAAGGAGCTTCAGTAAGAGGCTGGACAGTGAGGGAAGTTACCTGACTTCACCGTTTGGGGGGGTGGTGGTGTAATGATATGCCCAAGTTGGGACCTGGTGGGCCCTACACTCTGTGCCATTGCCACCTTTCTAGGACAAGGTGGTGAACCAAGCAAATAGGACCCTTTCACAAACTTCCACAAATGCTGAGAGCCACTTGAAGTTCACACAGGGTTAAAGTTCGCCGTCAAAATGAGGCACTTCAAAAAGTGGGGTGAGGAGTGACACCAGTGGGCTGCAGAACTGTAGGGAGCAGGGAAAGCAATATTTATTAGACATTTATTTTAAATGCATCTTTTCCAGCCCCTCCCCCACGCCCGCCCCCCTCCCCAGCCTAATTTACTTTCATTCAGAAAACATTTGTGGAGCCTTTGCAATGTGCTGGGCGCTATGCCAGGTGCTAGTAATTCAAAGAGAAATAGGCTAATTGTCCTCAAAACACTCCCTATGGAGTGAAGGAGCCAGCCAGTGAAAACTATACCAGGGAGCTTCAAAAAGTCTGTGGAAAACAAATCAAAGGCGATGGAATTTGTTTTACTGTTATGAGGTGCCTGTTTATGGAGCAGATCATCAATTCATACACTTTCCCCATATGTTTAAAATGAGCATGTATCTCCCTGTAGCCTCCAAGTCCACTTCAGTTTTACTTTCTCTCCTTCTTTTAAGCCACTCAGGCCAATATTTTAGGTCTGAGGAGTAAGGAATCTGGAGGGATGTTTGTTTTGTTGTGAAACGTGGAGCAATTTTTAATTTATTTCCTTTTAAACCCTCCATTTCTTTTTGTCCCCCCATCTTCCCTCCCCCGCCATCCTTTCTCTCTTCCTTTTCCCGGCCCCATCCCTGGCCTCCTCGCAGTCATCCAAGTCTTGTGGTTTGGTGAACATTTTCTGTCAACTCATCCACTACGGTCCCCTCAACGTACTTTTCCCACTTCTTCCTGGAGTTTCCGGCTTCCTTTCCTAACCCTCGGAACTTTGCATTTAGGCAAATGCTGCCCATTTGCTCTGAAATGGTTGATTTTTCTACCACAGGGGTGCGTTCAGTTCCAGCCCTGAAGGTTAGCAAAGGGTCATGGCCTTCGGGCTCCTACCAGGGTCTATTCTATCAGTGACCCCGAGATCTTTTATGATTTTGAGTTTTGTTTCATATTTTTCTCCCATCCTACCCAAGACTTTCTAATAAAATCCTTCTCAGAGCAGTTGGTGGTGGTAGCCGGGCACCATCTAGTTTTGCTGGTCTCAGGCTTATGGAGACGGATGTTTGCATGGTCCATTGGACTACTTGTTTCCATATGTGTTTCAATGATCATCATGCTTCTTATCTCCAGATGGAGAGAAACCAATGGCTTCCCCTTCTCCATTGCTCATGAGAGGGCAATGGAATTTTCCCATGAACTTCTCAAGGGCTCCTCACATAGCACCCCTAATATGTGCCACAATAGGGGCCTTTACAAAGTGCTTTTAGGTACAGGAGGAGAAGAGTGGTTCCTTTTGCCAGTGTGTAGATGTGAGTGAAATTAGGAAGAACGTCATAGGAGACAGCTTTGGAATGGGCTCTTGCGGAATGAGTAGGAGTACAGCAGAGCCCGAGAGAGTGGAAGGGTATTCCTGGCACAGGGAACGGTGTGTGAAAAGGTGTGCAGTTATGAAAGGGAACGGCATTTCCTGGAAATGCAAGTGTTCTGTATGGCTCGAGCATGAGTGCATGTGGAGACATGACAGGAAATGGGGTAAGGGACAGGTCTGCAGGATCTGCTACCTCATAAGGAATTGGGGATTTTCTCTATAGCTCAGAAGAAGTCACTGAGGGCTCTTAACAGGGGTGTGTGTATGTGTGGCAATAGAATGAGATTGGTGAAATGATCAAATTATGTTTAGAAAGATCACCTTATGCTAGTAGCAATGCACAGGAAGGACGGGAGCACAGGACCAGGTAGGGACCTGGGGAAGAGGTGTGTGTGTGATGGAAGTGTGGCCTGAGGCAGAGGGATGGGGGTGAAGAAGTGGTGAACTGACAGGACTTGGGGGTTGTCTGAAGTATGATTGGATTGGGAAGAGTTGAAGTGATTCCTAAATTTCTTCTGGCTTGAGCCATGGGGTGAAAGGAAGGTAGTATCATTCACAAGGGAACACAGATGAAAGAGCAGGATTGAGATAGTCATGCAGTGAATGATGTGATAGGGGTCTCCTAGCCAGAGTCTCTTAACTCCCACCAAACAGATAGGGTCCGGGGAAGAGAAGGTCGGGGAGGAGGCTGGTAGTTGCCATGATTCAGTTGTGATTGTTAACAGGGTTCACTGTGATTGTAAACACTTGGAACTCTAACATGGGTTTAGCCAATTCGGCCATCCTGCTGGGTATAAAATGAGCCATCTCAGCAGCAGGAAGGGGAGCTCTTCATTAGCATGCAAAAGAGAACTAGGAGTGGAGTGCATTCTTTGGACCCCAAGATCCCTGAATACTGACCCCTCTCAGTCCAGGAGCCCAAACTATGACACTGGAGAAGTGGCAGCAGCAGCAGTGACACCAAGAGTGGGAGACAGAGCAGTTATCTTTTTAGACCACCAAACCCAAACCAAACTCACTGCCATCTCCTAGCAACCCTGTATGATAGGGTAGAACTGCCCCTGTGAGTTTCTGAGACTGTAACTGCTTATGGGAGTAGAAAGCCCCATCTTTGTCTAGAGGAGCAGGTGGTGGTTTCAAACTGCTGACCTTGCAGATCACAGTCCAACTCAAAATCACTACGTCCCCAGGGCTCCTTTCTGGAGCACAGAGAAAGTAATTCTGAATGCCTCTGGGCAGAGGCTCATTTTCCCAATGAGGTGCCTGCAGGCACTTAATGGAGGGAGCTAGGTTTGCTGACCTACTGAGCTCATTGCCTTCTACCTGAGGTAGTTTACTGGTGTGCTTCCCGGGCATTTCTTGGCAGGGTTAAAGCAGCTTTGGGCAAAGGACAAGGGGTCATGTGGTCGAGAGGCTGAGGCACCTCAGAAGAAAAGCCTGGTGTTATACTTCCAAAAATCCAGCCACTGAAAACCCTATGGAACAGAGCTGTATTCGGACACACATGGGGCTGCTATGAGTCAGAATCAATTCCAAGGGAACTGGCAATGAAGGTGCCCAGGAGATAGCTACCCTGCTACGGGGAAGTGATACAAGTCAGCGAGTAAGAGAAAGGGCTGTGAAATTACATTGTTAGATTCCCCTGCTTTCTATTTGACCCTTGGACAAGCCACTTTGTTCCCCTAAGCATCCACTTCATCTGTTAAATGATGCTTAAATGAGAATGTATACCAAGCACTTACCGAGTACCAGTTGTGATAGCTAAGGCTTTGTTTCAACTGGGCTGGGCCAGGATTTTCAGTGGTTTGGCAGTTAAGACCTAATAATCCCCCATGGTGAGATCTAACAATTATTCCCATAATATCTACTATGAGCAGCCAATCAACTGAAAGTTTCTTTTAGGGGTTTAGCTTACTTATATTATAAGAAGATGTGGAAAAGTATGCTGCTTTTTGCTGGGTTTGGATCCTACACAGAACTTGTCAATGTCTAGTTCATTGGACTTGAGCCAATGGCTTGACATATTGCTTGCCAGTTCTGGAAGTCACCTGCCTGATTTGCCTATCTTGGATCCATTTGCCTCTGTAGCCACAGGCCTGATCTGTTAATCTTGGGTTCATCAGACCCTACAACCATGAGTCTGGTGAAGCTTCCAGCCTAACATCTGACTCATGGACTTGGAACCTGCCTGCTTCTACAACAGCATGAGCACAGAGTAAGCACACACTAAGTATTGTCATTGTACAGAGAGAGAGGGAGTTATTAGAGTACATGGATGCTTGTTTAAGTTATGAGCTTAGGTGAGGCCACCTAGGAAGGGGGAGAGGAAAGTGAGGGAGGAGTGGAAGCAAAAAAGCTAAGGAAGGGAGTTCAGGGCAGTTATGTAGGGGACAGGCAGCATTAGATGAACTAGGTGAGGTAGATGAGTCATAGGGGTCAGAGGACAAAAAGAGGGGAGTGTGATGTCATCATTCGGGTTTACCTCTTTAGTTGTTCTCTAGGTTCTAATATCCACTGCAATGGCTACACAGAACTCACAGACAAAATTCATGAGTAAAGGGTTTGTTAAGGAAGTTAACAAGTTGTAATGCCAGTGAGTCAAAGGGCATACCACTCTGCTATAATCCTCAACCCGAAGGCATTCAGCTTAAGCTCTGTAGGTCAGCAAACCCACCTCCTTGAACTAAGTGCCCAGATACCCCACTCGTCAGCCTCAGGTAGAAGGCACTCAGCTCCACTTCCGTGGGTCGGCAAGTCCAACTACTCCAATGAAGTGCCCAAAAGCATCCTACTCAAGCCAGCCTCCTGCACAAATGCACTCCAGTGTACTTGCTTTGTGGGGTGGGATGTCCATCACTTTGTTCATGCTCTGGTTCCTGGTGCTGCTAACGATATGACGTTATAGCGCTCAGATTCAGGAGGTTCACTGGCAGGGATTTCGGGTCCAGAGGATGTACTCTACTTCTGGCTCTTACTGGTAACTAGATCCCTCTTCCAGCTTCTCAGAGGGCTCTTTTTATATACAGCAGGATGGCATTCCAGGGAATCTTGTTAGCATTTACTCACAGGTGAATCCTATCAGTCTCTTTGCCCACCTTCTTAACTGACCCATTAGCAACTTTGGCTCGAAGAGCCGCACTGAACAGTTACTTTACTGCTACTGCAGTGAGAAGGTGCGGTCCTAGAAGGCAAGTTTCCATACGAAGAGGGTGATCAATCTTACCAAGTGCTGCGACAAGAAACATCAGCTAAAGGAGAGCCTCTGGTGACGTGTGTGTGTGTGTGTGTGTGTGTGTGTGTGTGTGTCTTCTGTGCCTTACTATTGTTTCTGTGGGATGTGATTAACCAAAGTTCATAGTGAGGTATACATGGGTATGGGTCAGAATGAACCTATCTGGTTCGTTATCAGTTGGATCCATATAAACTTGATCCCAGTAAAACTGATCACAAAGGTATATAATACATTCACCTATATCAAAGAACCCAGTCTTTTCTTGGACAAAAATAGTAGTACTACCTTACCTAAAACAGTCATGGAAACCCCTCGATAAAAGGCCAGGAGCCCTTCCTGTTGATAAATAGTTGAGAAAGCATGGAAGATGCCCCTATAAGATGGTTCCAGCATGTTCTGCACAGTTAACCGGGTTTTGATGAGGTCTGTAGGATACGTCACAATGGTGGACACCATGCCTGCAAGGCTCCCAGCCATGATGGCATCCCACTGGGTAATCTGGCCCGAATTGTCTGTGAACAGCATGACAAACCTGAAAGAAAAGAAGGGAAAACCTTAAGGAATCCATTATGGCTTATGTTAGAGTGCTCTACACTGCCGCTTACAATACTTCCCAGCATTTCAAAGTGCTTCACAAAGTCGCAATTCCTATACTAACATACTAGGATTAATGAAAAATAGATTTCGTTCTCTATTTAAATAATACTGTTTTGCGATAAGGAGCCCTGGTGTCATAGTGCTTACAAGTTTGGCTGCTAACTGCAAGGTCAGCAGTTTGAAACCACCAGCTGCTCCTAGGGAGAAAGATGGATTTTCTACTCTCATGAAGATTCTCATAACTGGGCAATTCTACCCTGTCCTATAGGGTTGCTCTGAGTTAAAATTGACTCAATGGCAGTAAGTGAATATTTCACTATAAGGCCTCTGGATATAAACAGTTAGTGCTCATCTACTATCCCAGTGGTGAATGGTTTGAACCCACCTGACAGCATGTTAGCAGAAAATCCAGGTGCTCCACTTCTGTAAAGACCACAGCCAAGGGAGCTCACACTCTAGGGAGCTTGATTTTACTCTGTATATACCACTGGGAGGTCGCATACATCCCAATCAGCTTGATTGCAAGTGGTTTGGCTTTTCTTTAGTTCTAGCTTTTATTTTGGTTACAAGTTGGGCTAATAACTGCAAGGTCAGCAGTTTGAAACCACCAACCACTCTTTAGGAGAAAGAAGAGGATTTCTATTCCTGCAAAGAGTCACAGTCTTGAAAATCCACGGGCGCGGTGGGTAGAACAGCCCCATGGGGTCAATATGAGTCAGAATCGACCCATTGGAAGTGAATGTGATTTAGCTGGAAGGAAGAGATGGCCAACCGACTTATTTAGTAGTAGTTGCCAGGTGCCGTCTAGTTGGTCCTGACCCAGTAGTGACCTTTTGCAGAAGAGAACAAACATGTTATGATTGAGCCTATTGTTGTGGCCACTGTGTCAATCTATCGCCCTCAAATCTTTCCCACTTCAGTTTGTCTTTTCTACATAACTGCCATCTCTGGCTTGTCTGTGAGGACACAGAAGTTCTTGACTAACACTGAACTGGGACCTACACCTTCAGTTTTGTTGAAACTTGAAAGGAATGAAAATTGCCTAAATTAATGATGTTGAGCATCCCCAATGATATCTTAAGACATATTGGTTTGGCGACTTTCAGAGAAGACGCTCCACCTCAATGGTTGTCAGGAATATGGCAAATGAAAACACAACATACCACTGCCCACCAATAAACTGGCAAAAGTGACGTCTGATGCTATCAAGTGATGGTAAGGACACACGGTACCAGGAACCCTCAACCATTGTGGGGTCCAGGGTACGTTGGTACAACCACTTTGCAGTATCTAGTGAAATTGAAACCACACCTACCTTCTCCCCAGAAATTCCACTTCAACATGCATACCCTAGAGAAACTCTTGGAAATATTCATACGAAAACACATACAAGGATATTAAGAAGTATGAAATAAACTCCACCTGCCATGAATGGAATTGTGCATTCCCTTTCCAAACAAATACATGATTCTCAATGGTTTGACAGTTATGTCACAATGTACTGTGGCCGTTATGTAATGATGTAATCATCCGCATGACGATGTCAGCCAATCAAGGGTAAGGGGATTAGAGTGAGATGAAGGTTGTTAGGTGCTGCTGACCTCATACTGAAGGAAACACTACCCGTTCCTGCCCCATCCTCACAGTTCGGTTTGGGCCCATTGTTGCAGCCACTGTGTCAATCCATCTCCTTCAGGGCCTTCCTCTTTTTGTTGCCCCTCTACTTTAACAAGTATGGCATCCTTCCTCCAGATCTAGCACAGAGTGAAAAGGTCTTCCCTCAGAGCTGGAACCCTAAATTCCAACTTCTGGCTTCCTAACTGTGAGGGATTAAACTTTTTGTTTGTTAAAGGCATCTGCTTTGGGGATTTGTGTGATAGCACCAGTAGAGAACTAAATAAGACACAATCTAACATCATCAGGAAAATTGTGTACTCAAGATTAGACCATTGTGATCCATAGGGTCTTCATTAGCTCGTTTTTAGAATTAGGTCTTCCTAGTCTGTAAGCTTCACGGAAACCTGTCCCGAATCATAGCAACACCCAAGCTGCCACTGGCAGACAAGCGGTAGCTGTGTGCTTGAGGTGAGAGCAGTTGTGAAGACAATTTGTGTGGTATCTCTAAGTTGATGCATTTGAGAACCAGCCATTGAAATAAGGGCCATTCACTTATTATAAGAACCTCGTTCCTAATAGACTAGTAAACCCTTGATTCTAAGTGAAAGGAAGCAGGTATTTCAGCCATGGAACAATGGACAGTACCCAGGACTAGGAAGTTTGAAGACCTCCTTTCAAGCTCCAACTCTGCCACTAAGTTTTCTTGTAGACAGATCATTAACCAGTCCGTTCCCTGGATATTCTGGATATTTATTGTGGGGTACCAGTCCCCACAATCAAACAGGACTGGTTGTGTAATTGGGGGTAAAAGTAAAGAGACATCAGATAACATAAAGCATGCAATTGCTCACCTCCTGGATGGCCATGATCTCAGCAGCCAGGTCCCTGCAGAGAGGGCGAATATATTTCCAATCATGGCTTATATATATATTTTGGGGACATGCAAGCCCCCCTAATTACAGGTAACCGCATGCATAACAGGAAGGTGTTGTATAACAGGCATCCATGCAAAAGGAAGGGGACGAGCTAGGGGTGTACATGCGATAGGAAGGGGAGATGCTAGGGGCATACATGTGGCAAGATGGAAAGACTCTAAAGTCAAGATGGCAGCCTAACCATGACCCTCTTTGAGTTGGCTTGACCTTGTCTTTGGACTCTCCTTCAGGGGAACAATCCACTATCCTTAATAGCAGGGAGTGGGCCCAACCTAGGGTGGGACAGACAATAGGGTCTGATTGCTCTAGATCGCAGCTGACCTCCAAGTGTATAGACATTGACCATATGTTAGCAAGCAGCATCGTAGGTTTGGCATATAAAATGGGAGGATAACTTGGGGAATAACTTTTCTGTATATACCACAGTTTATGCTGTGTTCACACCCATGATCGTAGACTGTATCATAAACTCCAGTCAACTGTTATGCAAACTGATCCAAAACAAAAACCGGAACAAAAAAACCAAACCTGTGACTCAAAGCAGCAGGGTAAAACTGGCCCTGTGAGTTTCCAATACTATAGTTCTTTGTGAGAGTAGAAAGCCTCATCTTTCTCCCTCTGTGCAGCTGGTGGTTTCAAACTGCTGACTTTGCATTTAGCAGCTCAACTCGTAACCATCACAGCACCTGGGCGGCTCCTTATGCAAATTGATAGGAGAAAGAAATGAATCAGTGTAATGATGGACCAAAGGTGTCGTCTCTCTGTAAGAAAGATGTCACGGTGATCAACCATTCTGCTTGCCAGCCACAGGAGAAAGAGGCAGTCAGCTTCTATACAGACTTACAGCCTAGGAAATCCGAGGGAGCAGTTCTACTCTGTCCTGAAGGGCCTCTATGAGTCAAAATCAACTGAACGGCAGCAGGTGGGTTGCTTTCTAACTATGCCTTACCAGGCCTCAGTTATCATTTTTAGTTGTTTTTTCTTCTTTTTTTTTTGTTGGGGTGGGGGGAGAAAAAAAACCTCGCAGGAAAATATTAGTGAATATTAGTGAAGCTGGCTTGGGTGTTCGCTTTCCCACCTATGGGCTCTTCTGCCCACCACTGTGACGTGGACTAGTGTAACAGGTTCCTAACAGGTCTTTCCACCTCCAGTCTTCTTCCCTTGTCATCCTACCATGCCATCAAGTGACACAAATTCCCGTCGAACTGTTTTTATCATTGTACTGCCCTGGCTCCCAGATCTACCCAGGTGAAGTCCAAACTCCTTGCCCCTGGCTCTCCAGGATCCCACGCTAACCTGTTTTTTTGGCTTTTTCCCACTCTGCTCTGTACACATCTGCTCCAGTCATGCTGGCTGGCTGGCTGCCTGCCTCTGCAATCTCTCCCCATCTTTGCCCAGCAAACGCCTACTCCTTCTTCCCAGGTCAAATGCAAGTACTTTTCCCCTTCTGTGATGCCATCTCCGTGGTACAAAGAGTTAAGAGAGTTAAGTACTGGACTACTAAGTAAACAGGTTGGAGGTTCTAAACCTGCCCCAAGGCACTCGGAAGAAAGGCTTGGCAATCTGCTTCCAAGCGATCACAATCATCGCGATGGATTGAAATTGTGTAACCCCCCAAAAAAGAGAGAGATCAAGAGAGAGAATCATTGTAATGAGTTGAAATTGTGTACCCCCCCAAGAGAGAGAGAGAGAGAGAGAGAGAGAGAGAGAGAGAGAGAGAGAGATAGAGAGATGTTGTAAATATAGCCTCTATAACGGTGGTTACATAGGCAACCCTGGTGGCATGGTAGTTACAAGTTGGGCAGCTAACTGCAAGGCCAGCAGTTCTCCTAGGGAGAAAGATGAAGCTTTCTACTGCTGTAAAGATTTACAGCCCGTAGAACCCACAGGAGCAGTTCTACTCTATCCTATAGGTTGCTGAGTCTGGCCACTGGCTTCCAAAAGATAGCCAAAGAAAACCCAACGGATCAAATTGGTCCAACCAATCTTCCACCAATCTTGGGATTGGTGCAAGACCAGAACCAGGCAGTGTTTCAATTCCTTCCATGTGGAGTTGCCTTGGTGGCTAAATGACAGCTAGTACACACTCACACACAAAGGGACTTCAATGAGTTTGTGGAGAAAATGAATGAAAAGTAACAACATTTGTTCCCCATGAATTCGTGAAGATTCCTTGTGTGTGTATATGTGTTTGTGAGCATGTAGGAAAGTAAGATGTAGTTAATGACTTACTATGGCCCCTTTAGCCATAGTTTTCTCTTGTGTGATGTATTGTAAACTCTAGCACCGACACCTGTGGTTCTACTTCCATTTTGGAAGAAGTTACCTGTTATGGGAATGAGACAGGATTTAAGGTGGGATATATTTTGAGTCCCCACTATAC